TAGCAATAACAAACTCAGTCAACCCACAATTTCCCCCAAGTTCATTCAACCTACCCTTATCCCTAATCGTACCACTATCCACTACACTATACTTAGTAGAATATGACTTAATTTGCTCCGGTACTCAAAACTCTTCTACCTTTTACTTTTAGAAAAGACGTTCTAACTACTAACTGCACAGCAGCCGTTTGACTAACTCACTGGTTTCCTCTTCACTGTCATCTTCAATAAGTTCGTTAGTATAATTATTTCCGAAAACCATTACATTAGCAACCATATCTTTTAATATTTTACAAATAAACTTATATTATTAGCATAATACACTGCACTATTTTTGAGTTGAATTGACTATCTTTAGTCAACAGTTACCCATTCTCATATAATTTTCTAAAATTCATAATGTTAAGGCTATGTAGTATTTTTTCCATTGTATGGTTGATGAGTCACTTTGCAATGTGTAACGCACACCATATAAAATCAGCCGACAAAATTTAGCATAACAAGGGTGGCGCTGGCTGATCAGTAGATATGGTGGTGATCACCAAGGTGAATCGCCCCCATTCTGCAGGAACAGCAATATGTAATTTGACGGCTCGAGATTTTTCTGATTTTTATGAGGGCTTAGATCTTTATCTTGAAAAGGATAATAATGAACGCCTAGACAGATCATGCTTCTGCCTTTAAATATATACCATTCGCTCAGCTTATTGTTGAGATGCGACCACATGGGTTCTGCACAGATTTACGGGGCATCTTATAAATTAACTTGCTATCCATTGTCAGATCTTTAAATACCACTTCACAATATCTTGTCTCACTTATTTTCTAATAACGTCTTTACTTGATCCTCATTATATTCCATTAAACCTAACATTTTATAGCTCTTTATTTATTTGATTCGACTTATTCTATTCGTGTTTTCAAAAGGTATAAAATAAAAAGAACTGGCATGAGGATAAATGTACTAAAACCAAAAGTGGACATCACGATAGTAAGACATATATGGGTAGCATTATACATTGCGAATGAAGGCTGTCAACCTAGGGGGTTTCATTTATTAATGCATTTATTAATGATATTTGCACTTGCCTATTCCAGTACACTTTATTGATTCACCTTAACACTTTTACTTTTCGAAAACAGCTTTCAATACCTTGTAAACGTTGTACTTACCTCAATATTGGTTGGTTATCGTAAGCCTACAACCACGGGGTGAAAACGAAACGAAGTCGATTTTCCCGCGTAACCTCCAGGACAACTGTATAATTCAATGACTATACGGTCTGATTCAGGCAATGAGTGTATTTATATGTATATATATCAAATATTTAACAGTCGAAACATTATTAACTTGTAGACAATCTACGATTTGATATTATATCATACTTGATCTTGCCTGTAAAAATGGTATGCATTTTCATGTAAATTTATATGTTTATATGAAATATATACATTATTATTATCTTGGGTTAGTACACTTCGTACTATCTATGAACGTTAATACCTTCAGTCTTTTATACTCAATACCCTATAAATTATTCAACTTGGAGACGGTTTCATCAATTATATGCCCATTTTTTGTGTTTTTCATTGCACTTGCTGTTTAATGTGTTGTTCAATCTCAATTTAAATCGGGAATTCGCGTCATAATTGTAAGTAATTATAGTGTAATTATGGGTACACTACAGACGTTCATGCCAGCAAGAACGAAATGTTTCTGTTTAAGAAATGAAATCATTATTATAAGATTCAGAGGTATTCCAGACACCTGATCTAGTGGTCGTCAAACTTTGGTAGATGTTGAAACCTGATTTTTACTTGGTTAGCAGAAGGTTTCCATACGATTTTTAACGACCTATGAATTTTTAGTCACCGAGTAGATTCAAGGGGAACAAAAGCTGGAGAAATGGCAGCTGTGGCTAATACAACTAGATAACGGATAGAATGGAAAATGAACCGATGGAGATACCTCAATGATGGTGTTGATGTTTTATAGGCGACTCGCAGATTATTTAGGAAATATAAGTGTTAACACATAAAAAACGACATAAAAAGAGCAGTGGATTAAAGTTAGTCCGACGCATTGGTCAGAATTAGGACTGCGAAAAGTAGTACGAATGTGGAAAACTGATGCAAAACAGTGCACTCACCCCCCACAATACGTTAAATGGTTATAGGAACAATAATATTTAGCTTATGGCGTTGGATATTGCTAAAGATACTTGACAAACTCTTCTTTTGGATTCAGATTGTACTTGATGCAAATTATTAGAGGAGCAGTCGTCAGGTTATACAGATTTAATAGCTTGTATTCCTGCGTGGATGTCATTTAATGTTCAAATTAATCATGTTTGATTTTCAAAAGTTCATACTTTTAGACTGTGACCGGGTTTAGGGTATCGATCAGTGGTGTTAATAAAAACAAGCGAACCATATCACGATAGTATTCCTTTTAACAGTATAATGCTGATTTCATCCAGAGCTGTGAATTAGCAACTTGTCCAGCAGGGCTTCTCAAATATATCGATTTCACTGTGTACTAGATTGGTGCAGATCATTTGAGTTTTGTGAGCCTTGCTTTTAAGGTTATCAACAATCTGTGACAAATCCGAGCTACATAAATCCATTCACTTACATAATCCTGTCTTGCAATAACTAGACAGACAAGGTTTATAAGACACGCGGTGATTTACTCGGCAGAAAGATAGCAGTGGTGCTAAAGTTGTGAGAAATATAGGGCATTACATAAATTCGGAGAAGAACATTTCCTGGTCAGAACCTTTATATATTCCGGGAGGTTGTTTAAATAAGTTATCGTGGTTTGAGAAATTGTGTAGCCTCTTGTTGGCACATTGAAGTAGAGGCGTGAGGAGAAATAGTGGGTGTAGATGGTCGGTTTTCGTCAGAACGATTTTATTTGCCTCACAATATTTGGTTCCACAAGTTGAGAACGTTTTCATTGTTTCATTGCTATGAAAATGACTGGGAATTCGTGAGAACTGATTCATCGAAGGACTCAGAACAGCAGCTTAAAGCGTACAGTTCTATCCGTTCCACAACTTCAAGAGTCAACGAAAGCGAATGTGATCTTAAAAAGGCCCACCTTACTTTTTGGCCAGGCTGCTCTTTATACCGTCCCGCCTAGGGGATGTTTAACACTTGAGTCAGTTCAAGGATGTATGGTATGAAGAGAGTAAAGAGGTACACGATCACGCCAAAACACTGCAGCCACGCACTTATCCCTTGTAGACCCAGTTGTCCGAAATCTGATCAAACCAGCAGAGCAAGGGAATCGATAGGTGAAAGAGAAGACGATGGGTTTTATTTGAATCGACAAAATTCTTTGATCTCCACGGAATAACCTGTAACTAAGACGAAGATTCGCCTGGTGTGGACTGTCAAGTACTAAATTCAGCAATCTACTGAATGAACTGATAGTTAAAGGGCTGACTTCGTTTCTAAAAAACATTTTATTGACTTATGTGCCTTCCAGCTAATTGGCTAAGAAGCCTTATGTTGCTTTTTACGCAAACAAAACTCTTGTCATATTAGAAGAAGGGCCAAATGTATCGCTTACACTATCTTGTTGACCCTTAAGCAACTAGGAGGAAATCAGTACAAGTGAAATAGTATTTTACTAAGGCGAATTGAAGAGTGTGAGCTCGTCGACTAGTTGAATTCAGCTCGTAATTGTGCGGTGGTCACCAGTCTTGACTGATCTACGTCATTACTCTATCCCTACCTTGCTTGAGGGCCAGGATCCAGCCAACACTACTAGATTATAGAGGAAGGAATAATACACTCGCGCCTGTTAGCGGATGTATTCAAATTACAGAAATACATAAACTGTGCATATTTTAACTGCCACAAAATTGTTCATTCTCGCGGAACAATACACAACAGTTTTTCTACTTCCAGGTATAGACTAATTTATTTTATCCCTAGTGGCATCAGCCCGATGCGAACTGTACCCATCATTACACGTAAGTGTTTTGCTTGCTATGAACATATGCTAAAAGCAAAGCAAACGAAAAGGAGAATACTAGCGAATGGCAAAACCGCCTTTACCTACAGACTTTTCCACCCTCCTGAATTTCGCCATTATTCTGCATCTCATCAGGGCCCGCAAAATATACCCCAAAAGATACGTGTGAAGGATAATGGCACCGTTTTTAGTTTCAACAAATACTTTGTTTTTATATGGGGTGCATAAAGCTTCAGGATGCGTATACCGTCCTTCAATGGCGTGTGCTTGACTACGCTCTTTCAGCCTAACCAATAGAATATACAGTAATGATGAGCACCTAATAATGAGTGGTGGTGAAACCACATTCTAACAATGTAGCTGTTAGCGGCTACAGAGTAAATCTACTGAGTAGGATTTATGACGAATGCTTCATGCCATTTAGGTGATTTACAATATTCGGGGGAAATTATTCGTCTGTAGATGTACAGCACACTGAAGTTTCTCCTTCCCTAGAATACGATGATACTGTGAAAAGTCAACATCGGGAAGGCAATGTTTGTAAAGTTCGTGGAAGATAGGAATGAAAATCAGGGTTTGTACATTAAGTTGATTTAATTCTTTTATCTTTGATTACTGCTTGATTCCACCCGTATTTTTGATACAAGTACGGAATTTTCAGCATGTGATATCGGTAGCCCAAATTTTTCAGGCCGACCATAAATATAAAGTGTGCATTGGCAGGGGATCGTGCCCTGGACCATGTGCATGGTCGGCGAGAGTCCTAACTTCTGTGCCACCGTCGCACACATTATACGAAGTTTTTCTTAACGTAGCTGTTGGCTAGATTTTAAGCAATAAAACCTATGACTTAGTTCCTTACGCACTTAATGTGAGGGAATGTGTACATGAGTTTCATTCTGTCTTAATGGGAAATCATATTGAACCATGAGCCGAATATTGAACAACAAACTCTACGTTAAAAATTGTTTTTCATTGTCAAGTTTAGGAGGGTATTTCGGTTAGTTCTCGGAAAATGGCTACGAGTGTTCCAAGATTTTCTGAGTTATATGATTTGAAGGAGGAAATAGGACGGTAAGTTTTACTACTTATTGATGCTATAAACTCCTCTTGGTATTTACTATCCCTTTCTCAATGTCTTTTCTCCATTTTTTGTAACAGAGGGGCATTTTCCATAGTCAGAAGATGTGTTCAGCTCTCAACAGGACTAGAGTTCGCTGCAAAAATCATAAATACTAAACGTTTGTCAACCAGAGGTAAGCTTGTATTTGTCGCAAGCACTTGAAATGCATTAAATATCTATACTATGTTCAATACTTCTGTGTTTCGTTTCGTTTTCGTAGCAAGTTTTTCAGTTTTGCCGAAGTTCATACCAAATTATTTGAAAAAAATTTGAAGAATATCTATTGAGGTATTCTTCGGCTCGTTAATTTGAGTTGCTGAGACAGAACTATTGAGGAACATTTAGGCTTGTAGGGAGGCTTAGTTTCAAAATCTCCAGGAAAGTTTCTCTATTGGTTTGCGTATGTATCCAATTTCTAATGGCATTTAGGGGATGTCACGTATACGTACCACAAGCAGCGTAGCAATTGTTCGACATTGAAACTGACTGCAAAAGAGAATGGATTTCCAGCAGTTAGTGAGTTTAGGCTTCGCTTTGTTGACTTTGTTATGTTTATCCGTAAGAGGTCGGTACATTTGCTAACTATTGTAATTGCCTTTAATGTCAGGTTCACTGTAGCACCCTACAGGTAACTGTGTTCTGTTAAAGGTTTAGTACACTCATCGACCACATATTTGTAGGTTTAACTTGTACTACTGGTTAGTGTTTCAGAGTATGTACCTTTTTAATGTCAGTATTTTGTGAAGCTTAGCCGAGTAGTATGTAATAAAATACAAATAAATTGTATTCCAAGTTGCAATTCTAGCTTTATTCAGGAAGCCTATCTCTGGCACTCTGAGATTTCACAAACTCCTTACTGCCGTTTTTTTAACAATTTCTGTGACTGTGAAATTTCCTGTGACTTTTCAGATATGCAAAAGCTAGACCGCGAGGCAAGGATTTGCAGACTCCTGAAACATCCCAACATAGGTAAGTTTTCCCTCACACTGTTTAAGTGTCCATACATCTAGTTAGCACGCTCATTAATATTTCGTACTTTATAACGGTGGATGCGGTGGCACCCTAGTTTTTATTACACCTACTAAGGATTTAGTTAGATTTCAATCAAGGTGACAGGGTTAAGAATAATCATGATGGTTAAGACTTATTAGCCCCCGAGTCCTCTCTTCACCATTAGTGGTATTTTTGCAATTTATATTTTTTTAGGTAAATGTCATCGTTTCAAGTTTTGTGCAAAAGCAGTTAAGGTGGATGTTCAGCAATCGATTCTGAGTTATTAACGATGCATTTCCATCTATTTTGCATCATGTTTGCGGCAGATATAAGTACTGGTATACAGGTGTGAAAGTGGAATTCATCAAGTGCAAAGTTTTGATTCGTAGGATTATTTCAGTAGTCCACTTAAGGTATTTTAGTGTCTCATTGTATGCAAAGATCGCAGCTCACTGTTAGGGATAATAAATACGGTGTTTTTCTTAGCAGGACGTACAAGGTTTAATCGCTTTCATTTGTAACCGTAGTGCACTGCTAGCTTCTTTCATGGTCTACTGCCACCGTAACACAAATGTATTTTACTACTGCCTTTTACTAAGTGAAAGCATGCGACAACAGATTCCAATTTCCGAACTTTTCAACTTAATATATTCTCTGGACAATATTTCTGACCTCTACAATTTTGAAGTATTCATTCTTTTCTAAAATATTTAACGAAACCGGATATTTTTTTGCATGCGCTGTAAAACTAAGTCGGAAATATTTATGTGTATATACTCATGGTTTCCTGTTTGAGGCTGTCAGCCTCACGTATTTTGCAACTGTATTGATATTCCTTCGGTAAGAACAATTGGCTTAGCAGGAAAAGTGTCGGTTTATGAGCTGTCAGCAACATTGCTTAATCCTTAGTTGTATACCTAAATTTGTGAAATGGCCTTTCATCCCAGCTTCATCAGAAATCCCTTTTTGACTGGACACCACCGTATATAATCCTTCGCTTGGCCATGCTAGATGCTATTTGTTGTATATAAATACTCTGCAATATACAGGAAGTCCGACGTCCTTGTATTATTTAAACAGAAATATGTTTTACTTGCTTTCATTTATCCCTTTTACACCTGTTTGTCTCCACAGTTCGCCTACACGACAACATTCAGGATGAAGGTTTTCACTATCTCGTATTTGACTTGTGAGTTTTTATATATTACTCCCATTGAAAATTAATTTTTGATAAGTTTAGTGGAACTTTTTTGTTTTGATTGAATGAGTTTTCATCGTAGAACTTTACACAGATGTGCAGCAATCCAAGTTGTTTTGATTGGTCCAAGTGGTTATAAGTGTTCCTTCCGTAAGACATCTTTCTTTTGATTTGTGGATGTTGGCCGTATGTTGCTGTGTTGAGATTAAAAGGTATGGTTTCCTGTTTTCGGTTCCCAGTAACACCATCGATACTTATCCTTATGAAAATGATTTATTCAGTAGCATCAGTTTTTCTGTTTTTGTGGTTGTCAACTTGACGTTTTGTGCGTATCATTGCTCCTATTACATTTATGACCATCTTAAAGAATACTTGTCGGCTTTACGTGAAAATTACAACTATTATTATACTTAACAACAGTATGATTCGAAAGTTTCGAATATTTAATTTTGCTATTCAGTTTTCACTTCAATTGGCGTTTTCAATTTCACCAGTAAAGGAGCTGTTTTGTATAATATAGTCACCATAAAGATATGATAGAAGTCTATGTAATAGTATATCTGTGGCCATTCTTCTGTATTACTTTCGGATTGAGAGACCCTTAGGCAATTTATTTTAGGGTGAATGAGTCAGTACATTTATGTCACTAGCGTTTTTAATATTCCTGTTGAAGTACATGCATATTCGTATTGGTTGGTGTGACGATTGTATTGTCAACAGATGGTTGGAGACATTGACAAAATTCAGAAATAAATATAGTAACTTTGATTTTTTCATTCATTATCATTATGTAAACTGTTATGCCAAATATACATAGTCTTCTTGCCTCATTCTTATCAGCTAGTGTTTCGCAACCTTCGTTGGTTTAGACTTCACATTCTGTCTTACCCCATATTATCCGCTTGATTTTCTTTGGTGTAAAAGGCATCTTTAAGCATTACATAATAATGCCAGGCCCCAGCTGACTGGTTTCAACGTTGAAGCTTGCATAGAAGTGCAGCAGTCCACTTTGCCACACTCCGTGTAACGCACAAAGTAAGATAAAAGAGAAAAAAAAAGATCCGAAAGAACAATAATAAACGGAAATCTGAGGGCGGAAAAACGGTAACATGGGAAAACAATAGGGATATGCAGGTCACAAAAAGTAAATGCATCTGCCCAATTGAAAATGATTTCAAATGACATCAAGAAATGTCTTCAGCCATTAGTTCTTAGTATCCTGAGGACCTCAACCAAGAATTCTACACCTCCCTACATGGCTCAAACTAAGTGTCAATGATTTCATGAACTGATGCCAAGTTTTGGTTTGGCCACTACTAGCTCTTTCCCAACCTAATCCTATATCAACTAAAATTGGCCGTTGAAGTAAGCGATGACTATGCATGTACGACAGGTGTACTAGTCATCTCAATCGATATGGCTTTACAACTTCGTCGGTTGATTTTTCCCTTCTTGCCTAACACTCGACGCCTAACCTCAATATTACTCACCATATTATACCACTTAACACGTGAAATGGAACGCCAACACCTGAGATCAAATACAACTAACCTTTTCACTTCTTCCACTTTCAATGGTTGCCTCACTTGGCCATAAAAGAAGAGGTCTTAGCCATATCGTTGATGTCCAACCGTGTAATAGCGTAGACAAAAGCTCCTGAACGGTAGGTTTAAACCTTATATCTGTCGTTAGACAACCGAATGTTTGCGAATCATAATTGACAGCTAAATTCACGTTTGTGCACAACAAATGTCTGGTTTAGTGCCACTGGGGTAATCTAATAATCAATCATATGGATGATATATATATATCCATATTTGCAGTATGTTTCATAGTTTATTATCGTATTAAAAGGTATATGCACCAAATGTTGGTTGGTTCTATTGTTTCCTCCCATCTCGATAAAGCGTCACTTGAAACGCATTTTAAAATTGTGCAGATGATTGATAGTTTATCTGCTTTTTAATGCGGCTTTCACCAACGGCTTCTTAAAAATACAATCTTCGTAGCGTTAAATACAAATTGAATTTTTAAATGTCTGCCAAACTTTAGGGTATTTAAGGGACATTTCTAAAATAAGTATTACTTATGTTATTCATTTTGACACCTTTTTAAGCAGTAACTGTTAAGTAATTATTTTCATTCCCAGGAATCACTTAGTTAACGTTTGTTCCGACTTTGTTGGATTATACAGGACAAATGTAATACCCCCACCTAATTAGAAGTTACAACTATGATCTTGCGCGTCGAGATGCTAACTGATTTCATCAGTTTATGGTAGCATTACTCTCCCCACTACCATACCTAACTTTTTCCTGTTTTTTTCACTGGGAAGTAATCTTGACTAGTTAATACATCCGTGTTTCGTTTGCTTATAGTATCTTTGTTTGCACAAAGGTTTATTTACTTAGTTTAAACTTTTATAAGTATATGGTGGCTTAACTCGTACTGCATTTATCCAATTTTGTGTCTGAAAAGCAATTGTTTCGTCATTAATTTTATTGACATTCTTAATTATGTATCCTTTTATCACAAAGAATTATTAAAACCATTGGAATCTTACTTTTAGAGTAACCGGTGGTGAACTTTTCGAAGATATAGTTGCTCGAGAATTCTACAGTGAAGCGGATGCTAGGTGGGTTTATATTCTTTACTGTTCATTAAGATTATGTTTCGCAAATATTCAAATGACTTCAGTGTTTCCTCATTTTGACTGATATACGTTATTCCTTAGATTGCTGTCATTTTTTTCTCGGCGATATGTGCAATCTCTCCGACTATCAAAGAAACAGTAATAGGGCTTTTTGTCATCATAAATTTTACTATTAATATTATAATTCTGAAAAAGATGATAGTCGTTATAATCGTTGTCGTTTTGTATCCCACTTTTTCTACAGCAATTGTATGCAGCAGATCATCGAGAGTGTGAACTACTGCCATCAAAATAATATTGTACATCGAGACTTAAAGGTTAGTCGTACTCTACTGTTCATTGCATACATGTAAACCTTTTCGTTTTAATATAGGGTATTTTTTTGTAATACACATAAATTAGGGTTCTGTGTAATTCCAGCTTACATGAACTTATTGAAATAACATTTTTTTGCAATGGTCATATTGTCAACCTAATTAAAACACCATCTTGGCAGTATTCGACTCGGCAAGAAAATACTCAGCGAGGCGAACCAACTACCCTAGAATAAGACATTCATCTAGCTAACAGTAGAGATAACTAAACTATTTGTGTGACAACCATTGGTAGGAGATAAATAAGTTCTTCATTTGCTTTAAGTACGGTAACGGGGTGTGAGGGAAACAGACTGAGTAAATGTGGCTCACTAAGTGCTTAGACCAACTTCAAGAGTTTCTGTGCATTACTTTAGCATTTTTCAAATGATTCTCACAAGCAAACACATGTGACCATGAAGTTTGTGTATGTTTACTATTGTGTTCCGGTACTAGAATTTCATTTACCCTGATAATTTTCCCTTCATGTACCAAAAACGAAGTTACAACTTTATTTTTAAGTGTTTTCCCCTGAAAGCACGTTTTTGCAAACACTCGATCAGAACAACGAAAGGTTGAAGTTTGATTGTTGTCTGATGAATATGAGAAATATCTCCCGTTAATCTTGTCTTCCTTCATTCCATTCTTATCACAAGCGTGTTTTCTTGTTATTTTTGTATGTAAGAAAAAAGCGCGAACAAACTTATTTTTTCACTTTCCATTACTGAAATATACTTCTGAAAGTGATATCTGTGATTAAATAAAATTCACTAAGATTCTGGTAATACCTTTCTGTGGAATGTACAATATGATACTCCAATGGTGAACTGTTTTCGTCCCCAGTAGTACGCAGCATGTCTATCTTCATTGTTAAATAGTTGATGTTTAACTATCTCTGTGCTTTAATGTTCACCAGTAGCGGTAACCACTGCATTTTATTCTCCTCATGGTTTTCACATTGAATCAGTCCAGAAGTGTGTAGTGGATATTAACGGCAAAAGCTAACCAAGGGTTGGAATTTAGATGAAAATTACTAAATGTAAACATTTATATTACCTTTTAAATACCACACTTTTATTTCACTGTGGCATTATTGCGTATTCAAAGTATTTATACTTTGTTTCACGTTCGGGAAAACTGTTAACTTTTCATGCCACATCGACATATTCAAATACTTGTCAACTGGTGCAATGGGGTCTTAGTTACATATTTCAATCCCAGAAGTGTCAGTCACAGTAACATAATACTCTTCTTATATTTTGAGTATGATGTAGTTCGTATTGTCTGCATAGCCTTTTATCGATAAGCATTAAGAGGAGCTGGCGAAAAAAAACAGGGATGAAAAAGAGCACCATTGAAGATAATTAGGATATACGCTATGTGTGTGTGGTCGACTGTTTATTTGTAAAAAGCGTTTGTGATCTGTATAGTTTCTTAGTCCTTAGGATTATACAGTCAGTGATGTCTTCCTCTTGTGTGTGTTCATTTACTATAGTTGGCATTTGATTTATGATTTAAAATGGACTTTGTAATTCGTTTGATACTACAAGAATACTTAAAGGTACAGATTTAGATATTGCTGTCTGAACATGATGTTCTGTTTCACCGTGATGTGTCATTGTAACAATATAAGGTTTTTTGTAGCTTAAAAAATATCGAATATATCGTTACTTAACACATAAATGACTGGAACAGTACTCACATAAATCTGTATAATTTAAACTATGGAATGAAACTACAGTTCCATTATAGATAAGATTTTATTTTGATAAATCGCACAGTGTTTACAGTTATATGAACAGTTATATATCAGTTCATATAACTGTAAACACTGTGCGATTTATCAAAATAAAATCTTATCTATAATGGAATTATACTCTACCACAGTGCCCAAGTTTTATACTTATATCAATAATGAAACTACAGGCCTAAATCATATACTCCATGTAGTTATCCGACTGGTTTCAGTTTTCGGAAATCAAAACTTTTTGCTCTACATCATGGGTTTTTCTTCACTCTGAGTTCAGTTCTTTTCTTTGAAAACCAATTATGTATTTGAATAGTTGGTTGATCTGTGTCCATTTTTATATTAAGTATTCTGAATTGGCTTATATCACTGACTACCAGGAACTTATCACATAATTGACTCATAATCTCTTCAGATAACATCAAGCAGCGTAGATGTTAACATTTTTAAGGTCATAATTCCATCAGCTTCAAAGACAGACTATGGGTTAGAATATTTCTGTGCAATCAAGTATCTCATCCCCACGATACTCTTTTATTATATTGAACTTATTTCTATCTGTATATGCTGAATTCGCTTTTTGTTTGTTGAACCAGGTAGGTAATGGTAAATTATCATTGTAATTTTTCTCATTCTATTCTATTTTTAGCTAATCTAAAACATATGAATAGTTTTTAAAATCAATCTTGTTTTACAGCCAGAAAATTTATTACTTGCCAGTAAGTCGAAAGGAGCTGCTGTGAAACTGGCCGATTTCGGTTTAGCAATAGAAGTTCAAGGTGACCAACCAGCCTGGTTCGGTACGTTTGCCCAGAAAAATACATAATTTGTACGAGTTCTCATATATTTGACACTATGGTAGGCTAGTAACATATGTAATTCATAACTTTGACTGTACTTTAAATATTTATTTCGTTTTATAGCAAGGATAAAGTGTATTTGAGCGACTTATTTTGTAGTCCAGCTGATGAATAAGATCCTCCACTTTCTTCACTTTGGCCTAAACAACTGATTGTCTCACGATTCCTACATACAAGTTACAACTGAGTCTGATACAAAACATGTTTTCCAAATAACTGAGTTGCATTGTTACCTCTTTTTGTCCTTATAATGGTATACTGCTGCTTTTATGTCACTATCTGGTATTTTTGCTGGATAATTGGAATGAGTAAATAAATAAATAATGACATTAATTAATACATCGTAACCATAATACTAATTTTCCAGTCACATGCTTATCATTAATGTGTCGCTGTTTTTTGTTGCGTATATAGTCTAAAACAATCCGTTAAACTTGGTTGTAACGTCATTTTGATGGATATTTTTCACTACTGTTTGTGTGTGCGTGTATGTGCACCTACCGCATACTTATTGCATTACTTCTACACTGTGTTTTATTCATAATTCTGCTGAAAAGATTGTTTTAGCTTAGCTACACTGCATTGTTATTTCTGTGGTTTTTAGCATATGTGTTGTGAATAATACATTGCGACTTGTTGTAAGGAAGACATTCATTTCTACCTTTTTCTTTGATTTTCTGTCTTAATAAGAATACTTCCAACTCTTGCTCCTTAGACTTTACTTATTCTCTATATTAGATTTTGTAAATCATGTGGTACAACTGAATAATGAAAATGTATCAATATAGATAGAGACATCGTTCCGAATTTTCGAAACATGTGTTTCTACCCTTGACTTCCTGATACCAATTGTATATATGCTGGAAGAACAGCTATTTGTTAGTGTGTGCATGTGTTTGTAACTGATTTACTTCACTGAGGCTGAAAATTCATGTTTTTTAGTCTTTGGTTTCAACAGAACAAGGTTGTCTTTTGAGTGGAAATTCTCGAATCTTATACTTCCATCTTGCCTGCATCTCCTAAAATAAATTCATTTTGCTTCTCTAAAACAGGTAGAAATTATAGGCACAGCTAACAAAGTGTACTTTTGTAACTGACTGTCATTATTAATCAGCGAATCCACTGAGTTTTAAATCTGTATTCCTTTGATATATAGAGTTCTATTTGCGAATTGTTTGCTTTAATTATTCGTTTGCTAGGAAATGTATATTTTCACTGTCTTACACAAGGTGATACGAACCTTGATGTTTACGCGGCTAAACTGACTAACGAAGGTTACGATTCTGCAAAATCGTCTGCATGGTTTAAAAAGCCTATTATCTTCATGTTATCAACTGGGCTATTTTGTGATTTAGGCTACGTGTATGATGAAGCTTTTCTCGGATGTGGTTCTTATGGTTGTGGATATGCAACTGGCAGTAACTTTCAGAGACAGAACTGTTCATCTTAAGGATATTAGTATCCTACGGGTGTTTAAAATACTAGAAGAATTCTTCATCATAAGTGATTTAATGTGGTATACGCTTCCACGTCGAACCACTGAAGCTGTATCCTAATTCTTGTATTAGTAGTGCTATCTTGAGGGGGTACACCACAGCATTTTAATCTATACTTGATTACTGTCTTCTGGAAATTACCATTAACTACGTTTATTTAGATTTTAGAAATAATCTAATATTCGTTATATATATTTCTTATTTACCACTACTACTACTATTACATCCACATCAAAGGAAATGAATAATATCCAACAATCTGGAAGTTGTTTAATTAATACACTTTGATTATATGTGTTGGAAGAGCCTTACTTATCGTTTAATTGACTATAGAATATTTAATTCTCATACTTCCACCAGAAAATCAAAGTAAATACTATTGCAGATCTTAACCCCAAACCAAACAAGTTTTGAATTTAATAAAGACGTACAATTGAATAGTGATCCAGTTGAGTCTGATATAACTTGATTCTGGTATTTTATGAATGAGCATTTTGCTCTGGAATTCTGTTTGTTGTTAACAGTATGACTTTATTTTCTTTGCTGTCGTAGGGTTTGCTGGTACTCCTGGTTATCTGTCTCCGGAGGTCTTACGTAAAGAACCATATGGTAAAGCTGTAGACGTTTGGGCATGTGGTAAGTATCTGTAGTTCATGATCATTCTACTATTAACTTGTTTTTTAATATTGAATTTACGTGTATAATTCGGTAATCGTGAATTTCACTTTGCTCTTCCAATTTTTTATACTCTTTGATTGGCATTTCCAGTTTCCTTGTGTTTTACATACTGTAACCCTGTCGTGTTCCAGAAAATATGGGCGGTTTGCAAAGAAGTTTCAGCTTGCCTAAAACTTCAAGTATTTAATATTTATATTACAACAGTTCTGGCTAAATCAGTTTCATTAAACTGTTATTAATGTGCCCGTGTTTTCTGCAAAGTTATCTTCTGAGGCATATCAAAATGAATGGTCCGGGTTTCGAGCCCTGGCCGACCCACTCCTTTACCTCACTTAGCCAGTAATACGACCGGTAAAGCGGAAAGGTTGAGCATGAGGCTGGCAACCCCATCCTATAAAAATAAACACTGCTACAGAAACTTCAAGCCACTAGCTTGAAGCCCTATGTTCCACTGGGAACGTGAAGGAAACAAAAAATACTGTTCTATGAATGTTTAAGTAACCTACTTGAGTTATCATCAAAGTGGAGTGAATGTGCAGTGACATTAAGAAGATATACTCACAATTGTCACTAAATGTGTCGAAAATGTTATGTTTCCATGGTTAGAATTTTGGAGGATATTTAAAATTTTTGTTGTGATTTAAAGTCAGCGTATAACTGTATCTACAACGTGTGGGGTGTAAACTGTTTAAAACACATTAGAATTCACGCCACTCATCTTTCTCTACCTTATAGTGTATCAGTTGTTAAGTAATACTAATAACATATATGACCTTATTCTTCTGTGCACCTTTCGATCTACATATTTTCCATGAGGATATATATTTTACTGTCATCACTTTTCTATTACAACGATAGTTTTCTACTTCGGCTGTTATGTCGATGGTAGATAATCCCAGACATTTAGGGAAATGAAGAATTACATGTAACCTACTCGATGAAACTCTAAAATGTATGATATTACTTGTAAACTATAATCTGTGTAAAGTAACACACTTTTCCACCTGCATATAACTAGCCAGTATTATTCAGTATTAGTGCCAGTGATTTTTTCGACAGGTGTACACGCTGTATGTCTGCATACTTTGTGTTTTTTACAAATATACTGTAGTTCGGTGTTTCCTAGTGTTCGTGAATGGTCTGTTGATACATTTAGGTTATTACTGAAAAATCAGGTAGCCTAGAAGATCCTGTTGATCAACGCAACTCAAATGAATTGTTAAACAATTCCATTTAGTTTGATTTTAACGCAAAAGGGATATTTTTCTACAATAATCCATTTTCTTAGATTCAGGAACTGTCCGTGGCTTGAGCAAGCTAATCGCTAATTTTCTAGCTTCAGCAATATCGGATAACTGTCCGATTGTCATGAGAAATGTGTGTTATCATAGGTAACTTTTCCCGAGTGTTTGGCATCACGGGGTAGTTGTAGTTTCTAAGGTTATTGGTACTATTTCATTCTCTTTATCGTAAAAGTTATTCTACAAATGCAAATTATGTGAACCTCTAATTCGTAAAACGTAAACGCCTCACTTTACCTCTATTAAAATTGTTCTTTTTAAAACTACTATTCAACACCATATCTTCTGCGTGAATGCATTCAAATGCAAAGATTATAAATAGTGAAAATGTATAGGTGATCCACTGATATCTTTACTATTTAGGTTTATAATATTTACACAAAGAAGGCGTCTGTTTCCTACATTGTTGTATCTCATTGATTTAATCGGCAAAATCTGTTTCCTTTATAAGTCATATTATGTATTGTTTGTGCCATTCAGCAATTATGTCTTCCGTGGCAGTGTTCTATGACATTTCTTGAATACGAGTAACTGAACTTCAAATATTTCTTGTTTAAATTCCATCTTATCACTATTATCAGATTTCTGGTAATCCGTTAAAGGATAGGATGAAATGTGTTTTGTTTCCCACTAGTATTTTCTGCATGTCTTTTAATGCTGTCTTAATCGGTTAAAAAACCTCTTTTGTTCTTCTAAATACCTCAGATTTGCTTAGTATCTAAAATCTGTGAATTGCGTTGTGTAAGACAATTAGTCTCTCAAGCATCGCATATTTATTTAATGTAAATACAACAATCGAAATATTGACAACAGTCGTTTAAGCCAAAAGAATAGGCTAAAAGGTCTAACTGACAGTCACTCGGTCCCTCGCTAATTCACAATAATTAGCACCGGGAAGATAGTAAAAATTAGGATGACAGTGTGAATACATACTATCAGTTCACTGTGGACATATTGTTCGCAAAGCATTGACTTTTAAAATTTATTTCTGAACTATATTTACGTAATGTAATCCAACGTTTTGAATTACTGATTACATAAAAATAATTGTGAATGAAACAGGATGTAATCTTCCATGTCATAGATCGTAGGAATTTTTACCCCACCAATAGACTAACTATAAAAATTGTTAGAAAATTCATAGTAGTTTTTCTAGAATAATCTTTAAATTCGTTTCTTCCTATCACTATCCTTCTTATCGATATTATCATCAGCATAATAAAAACATCTACCCATAGACTGACTGTTCGAAACAGTATTTGATAAGCTAGTACATGTAATACTAGCATTAGTATATCAATTTCATTTAGATCTATCCGTCCCAAGAATAAATCCGAGTATATTTGAAGAACTTAGTCTGCAGATAAAAACTACAGTAGCTCTACCGTAAGGTTCATAAAGATGAACTGCGTCGCAAACTCTCAGTGGTCGGCGAATTAATACAAAATTTCCTCTGCCGATTAGGGTTTACATACAACTGTGAAGATGTCCAGAAATTCAAAACGTACGAAAATCTTCGTTCTGGACTTGAAATGTTTTTTTTGGAAAAGTGCTACCTAAGTTAGATGTCGTTAATATCTGAAGTAGTTATCTACCTAAAAATAAAGCTTCAGAGATTACTGGCACGATACGTAATTAGCGAAAAGTCAAAATCACTGATAAAAACTTTAAGTCATATACCTTTCATGATCTTCAATTAAGCGTATTCAATTTTATGTGTAAGACATCCGGCAAATAGCACAAAAGCTCGATGATTACAGTATGCTCTTTGGATGTAGATTCCTGCGTAAAATGACGGAGATATTCACTTCTGAATGCGTCAATTTATTTGACCGCCTGTTGTCCACGTATTAAATTGTAATATTTAGTTTTAAATTCATGAATTAAGTGTTTTTTGGCGATCTGTCTGTCTGTCTGTCTGTTTTCGACATAGAACTTTGCACAAATGTGCGGAAGTTCAAGTCGCCACATTCCGTGTAGCACGCGAAGCAAGAGAAGAAAGTACAAGAAAAGCATAATAGAAACAGTGAGCAGAGGTGTGAGACAAAGGAGTAATAAAGAAAAACAAAACAGTTTCATTGGAGATCATAAGTCACAAGGAGTGGATGCATCTGCGCCACTGAGAACGATTTTGAGCCATGTCACCAATTGTTTCCAACCATAGATTTTTACCGTCCCGAGGACCCCAGCCTGGAAGTCTACACCTTTCTACGTGGCTTAGACCAACTGTTGTGGATTTCATTGACTGGTGCCAAGTTTTTGTTTGACCGCCGCTAGCTTTTTTCCAGCCTGACCCTATATCCGCTAACATTGCTCGTCGAGGGAGGCGATGGCTTGGCATACGTAACACATGTCCTAACCATCTCAGTCTTTGTAGCTTCACGACTTCGTCGATTGATTTCCCCTGTTTACCTAGAACTCTACGCCTAACCTCCATGTTGCTCACCTTATTATGCCACTTTACACGGGAAATAGAACGCAGGCGCCTATGATCAAAGACAGCTAGTCTTTTCATGTCTTCCACTCTGAGTGGCCAGGTCTCACTCTCAGCCATAAAGGAGGACGGAGCGGACTGATGAGCAGTACACCCGCCCTTTGGTCGACAGTCGAACATCTCGTCTACGCCAGAGTCGGCGTAAACTGGCAAATGCGAAACGAGCCCCCTGTATTCGTGCTGAGATTTCGTCAGAGATCAGCCCGTTGGCACTGGCTGATGGTACTTCCCAAATAAGTGAAGCGGTCAACGTGCTCCACCACTTCACTTCCTATTTTTAAAGTAGGCGTCGATGTAGTCCAGTCCTGTAACATCATCTTGCATTTGGCGGGAGCGAATCGCATGCCAAACATTCGTAGATTGCAGCTCAAGGTGTTTAGAAGACTCTGCATTTCGTCAGCGTCTTCGCCTAGAAGGACTATATCGTCTGCATATTCCAAGTCAACGAGATTATTCCCTGGTAGCAAGTCAATCCCTGAGTCTCTGAAGTCACTTAGGGTTAAGTCCATTAACACATCTATGATGAAGTTGAATAGAAAAGGGGATAATGGGCATCCTTGACGGACACCACTGGTCGTCACCAGTTCAGATGACAGCTCACCGTAAGCCCTCACCTGGCTGTATGAGTACGAGTAGAGTGCCTTAATCAGTGCAATATATTTTCTCGGAATTCCCTTTACAGCCAAGCATTTTTTTGGCGATAATAAGTGACGCTTCTACATTTATTAGGTATGACGGTAAACTCATTAATTCATTGTTTAAACGCCTTAGGAATTCGGTGGACACATCTAAAATACATTGCGTTACATGATAAAAATATTGTATTATTGAGCATAGTTTAATTCTCTCGCTGGTAAAGAGTGAACATGATGTGTGCTTGTTTATCCTTATTCGTCTGGAAATAGTATTCGTGAAAAAAAATGATAAAAATTCACTTTCCCATCTAAGCTGTGTACAAAAATCAATAGACTTCAATCTTCGCCTATCCTGGACTGCATGACCTATCCTAATATGATTGGTCATTAGTATGTACTTTTTTATTTAAGTGAGTAATTTTCATGAACTTTATTTTATCATTGTTAACCATGTTAGTTGTAAAGCGGTTGTAAAGAAACTACGAAATGATATCATCTCGCGAAATTTGTCTTCTTAATGCCTTGTTCAAAATTAATCAACTAGAGTTGTACGTTGGGAAGGTGACTCCGTTACTTTGCTTACAAAATCATCCATGATAGCATTGTGCATATTTCGTCTCATACGGTCATTTTTGCCTAAATTGCCGTTTTTTACATATGAATGCTTCATTTCACAAAAACTCTTATTAACATGCCCGGTGAAATTGTTTTCTATATCTTTCTCATTCTTTACAGGTGTTATTCTGTATATCCTTCTTGTCGGATACCCTCCATTTTGGGATGAGGACCAAAATCGTTTGTACAGCCAAATTAAGTCTGGAGCTTATGATGTAAGTGCTTCTTAATAAAGCATTGTTTGTCACTCTTCATTTCTCTTTATATATATATATATATCCATGAATGCTTACTTTTCTCGAAACAGTAGAAGTATTCTGTTTTTAGTGATCTACAATACGCTGATTTAAACTGACTTCTGTATTGTAACTATTCGGCGACTGTACACGTTATTTTTTCTACTTGATGTAGGATTTAATCGTCTACGTATGTCCTAGTTCTCATAGTCATTACTGACGGTACAGAATCCTGCTTTAACTATTGTTAAACCTCAGGTAACTCGGCTTAAAGCTTTGTTTCTGAAATACAAAAATATTAGTTTTCTGAAGACTAAATACAAAACAGGTGTTCAAGCAAAAGCGCAAACATGCTGAATAGTATTAACGTGTGAAAGAAAGTGTTCAGTAAGCCACAGTCAGATGTACGTAAGAAGATAAAAAGGAACAAATACATTGTTAGCCTTAAGTGGTGGGCGTTTACGTAAACATAAGCAACGATCACGTGACATAGTTGGCAAAATAGAAGTAACACTCAGTTGGTGGGGTGTCATGACGTTCATCTTCTGAGTCGTTTAGCCTCAAAGTGACTTGTAAATTAAAATCATTTGCGATAAACAGGAGGAGAATTTAAAGTAGTTAGGGCAAATTTTTATGCTTGTTTGCAAATCACGACAAAGAATGCTGAAATTCATTCAAAATAAATCATAGTATTCCCGTGCACCGTTGTTTTGATTTAAACCTGTGTTGTCTTTGATTATACATCAATACACAATGCCCTCAATGTTATTGTAGCGATCAATTTTCAAAACTTGTTCTTTTCTTTAACTCCTGGTTAATTCAAGGTGTAGACATACAAATCTTACTTGTTGAAGGCCAGTGGCTTGAAGTTTCTGTAGCAGTGTTTATTTTACAGGATGGGGTTGCTAGCCTCATGCCCAACCTTTCCTCTTAACCAGAATTATTACTGGCTAAGTGAGGTAAAGGAGTGCGTCTGTGGCCGGGGATCGAACCCCGGACCATGTGCATGATCGGGGAGCGTCCTAACCACTATGCCACCGACGCAGGAGTCGATTATTACATGGTTACTATTGTGCATTGACATACCAGGAGTATTTATTGTAGTCATGTCTTCAATTTTTGCCTAGTTCTAATAGATAATCAAAAGTTGGTTTATTTCTCTTTAACTTTTAGGTATCACATTGAACAGTTTATTAAAATTATCCAACAGTCGATTTCTATTCGGGATGCAATTAATAATTCTGCTGCCTTTAGGTTTGTACACTAATGTATGCGTCTGCAAAGTTATAGACAAAGTTGGGCCAGCTAGCTTAATGTATGCGTTCAAATTTTGTTTTATTTGGAAAATAGAGTCATCCTCCGACTTGCTGTTCCACAGTAGGGACAGCTAATGTGTAGTACGCTACTAGATGATCATTTAGCAGTAACAGTCTAGAGTATGGTTTATGACATTTAATTGTAAGATATTTAAACCTAAATTGGTAACTAAAGTTAGGAGAAATGTAAGCTGTGTATTCCTTAAGGAGCTATCTATTAAAAGAAAATTTAACATACTACGCGTTTACCCAAATCTCAGTTGACTGTTGCGTTTGAACTCATCTGTTGACCTGCAACTTTACTTAACTTAGATGCGTACTTTCATTAACCAGACAGATTTATTTATCTTCTTTTTTGCTTACATTTATTCAGTATCCTTCGCCCGAATGGGACACAGTTACTCCTGAAGCGAAAAATCTCATCAATTTAATGCTTACTGTTAGTCCTTCGAGGCGAATCACAGCAGCAGAAGCCCTCAAACATCCTTGGATTTGTGTACGTTCAGTAGCTATTTTATTTTTTTTTTACATTGATCTTAATGTTTTTGAGGTGCGAATAAAGTAGGCAGCTACGATGTGTTCTGCATTACCCTACGTTAAGACTAGTAACATCAAGGATGTTCATATCATGCTTTACTGTATGATTTTTGTGTGAATAGTGACGTATTTGTCCGTCAAACTGTTTAATTTAATGAGATTTTATTTCAGTGGATTTGTGATAGATGTTCCAATAAAAGATAGAGGATTTCATACTCAGATTTCAAAATCTCATTAATCGTGTCCTGTTAGTGCATCAACATATTTCCCGATGTATCTAAGGTGCTACAAGTTCACGTCGTTAACACGTATTCAATCCTTGTGATATAAGAGTTTTGGTGCGTTTTGGTAATCCTTAACGGTCAATTTTTTTGGCTTCAGTTTATCTGTGGAGTTAGACAAAAAATTGCTCCACACTCCATAGTTTCCATAGTTCAGCAATATTGTCACTGCCTTAGGTATTTTTTATTTATGGGGCTCAGGTTGATTAGCTTAAGTACTCGAGTTCTGGTTACTTAGTTACAGCTTTATGACAGTTAGGTGATGTCATTAGGTCCCATACAATGAGCGCGGATCATTGTCAAGGGCCTATTCGATACCAAACTTTTCATTTCATGATAAATTGATAGAATATGATTTTCTCTTGACCCTTGGGTATCTTTAAAAACATTTTGGTGTGTATGTTGTTCATAAGAGTTTGACCTTGACTTTTGTCTCTAATTAATTTCACATTCCAGAATTTAGATGTAAGCCTCACTTAACGTACTTAACATGCATTACTATCTTTCTGTGCCAAATAACAGATTGCGTGTAACAGATTTATTATTTAAAATCAAGCAACTTAACACATGCCATACATTCGCTTTTTTAATGCAATACTGATTACTACTTCTGCATAAAAAAGACTCATTTTACATTTGGCGACTTATTTCACTTATGACACAGTTGATATATTTAAAAGGTCTATGGTGGACACTTGGATTCAGTGGTTCTATGAATTTCATTTAATATTAGAGATGGGGATGTAAATAGAGAAGGCGTACTGTTTTTTCGTTCAGTATTGCTTTTTTTATTTACGTTGGTTTTTGTTTACTGTTTCTAAGTTCACTATGCTTTTTCCGGCTCAGTTATGTTTTGATTGAACTTTAGACATTTTGTCAAAACGTATTTATAAAATGCACATTTTCCTGACTAATTGAATCACTTCAGTGTCTAACAATTTAGATGGTTTGTGATTTTGTAGTAGCAAGCTGATACTTATGGTGTATTGCTTCTTTTGAGAAATTAGTTTCTTTAGGAATTTTTTTATAGTCCTTTAGATAATAGTCCTGTTGGGTAAAATGGATGGTTTCATATTGAATCATTTAGGCACTTTTGAAAACTATTTGAGAAGTTTCTCATTTGTCTTGCTCGCCAGGACGAAGTGAAAAGTTCCTGGCAGTTGAGGCCCACCCGGTCGGGAGTGACAGCAACTACTCGCCTTAGGTTCGAAACCCGGTCTATGCGAGATGATGGTGAGCCTCAAAATAGGACAAAACATCTCTCCACTGGTCCCTGGTTTTCAATTGTTCTCTAACTGATCTCACTCCGTGGTCAAACCTGAAAAATATACGGAAGATGGATAGTTATACGCTCTTGTCGTCTTATGTACTGATACAGTGGCTAACGAGGAAATTTAAATACAAATTTGCTATCCTTGATTAACTTTCAGCAATACCAACAGAACACTCCAGTATAATTTGTTCATCATTATCTCCGTATGCTGATGTGGTTTATTACAAAGTATGCCATCATACAGTAGTGCAACGTACTATTTACATGTGTATATCATAGTATATTAACTGTAGTGAAGTGGTTTTCTGTAAGTCTCTGAAGTAAGGTGCCAAATTTAAACGGCTTAGTTTGGTGTTGATTGAGACTGAATTAAATAAGTTTACGTATTACTTATCACGAAAATAAATCAGTTCAAGTTTCAAAACTTCGGAAAATTCCTTATCAAAGTAGAAAACGTATATGTATCAGAGCTACAATAAATGGGAATTTATCAGGGAAAAACAATTAGAAGAATAATGAAGATTTTCGGCATCTGGAAGATGAAAAAGAGCGCGTAAATCTGCATATTTGGGGGGGGGGCGATTTTAAGTCATTTCACGAAATCTTCAATCATCGTTTTTCAGTGTTTTCAGCGAAACAATCTGCGCCTTTTTACACTACTCAAAACAACAGTCAAAGACATCATGGATTAGTGCAATATTTTTTTCTGATCTACCTATTTCATTTAAAACCTTGTCCTTTTTCAGCTGAAATTAACTGTCAGAGGAGGAGGGTGATCGACATATGTAACACGTCTTAACCATCTTTGCCGTCGAACCTTCACAACATCAGTTGACTATCTCTTTCTCTCCATGCCTAACCTCATTATCACTGACCATATTTTTCCATATAACAGGAGGGATTAAACGGAAGCAAGTATGGGCGAAAACCGCTATTGTTTTCTTATATTCTACCTTCAAGGACTGTCTTACAGCAGTAACATGGGGCAGAACGAACTGTTGCACATTAACAAGCCCTTTGATGAATAACTACATATCACACGTGCTTCATAGTTGATGCAAGTTGTAGAATTTCAAATGAGCCCTCTGTATTGGTAATGAAATTTCGATAGTAGTTATACCATTAAAGTTGGTGCGACTAAAATAAGTCAATATATTCAAACATCTCACTCCCTAGGAATAGGTACAGATCATTGTTGTAATATGCCTCTGAATTTCATAAAGGTAAACAACATTATCAAATCTTTGTTCATCGCATTCTGGGACTGTATTTTATCAGCGCCCTCACCTAGGGGACAATGTCGTCGACGTATTCTCCATGCCAATGAGACTATTTCAAGTCAGTTTCTGAAACATCAAAGTTGATAAGTGTTGCATGTTTCAGTATATCTCAGATAAAACTGAATAAAATTGATGAAGTGGGGTATTAGGGATAGATAATTCTGACTGTCATCCCTTTAGATAAAGTCAATTGCTGCCATCAAGCCTACAAAAATGGCGAGTATTAGGTACCAAAATGTGTACCGTTTTCCTAGAACCAATGTCCTTCCTCCTGGTTTTCGTCAACCCACTTAATCTTCGAAGAACTATGGGACGTAGACTCGTAGATATTATGTTAGCCTAAGGTTATTTTAGTTTTTTTTAGTAAACTCGGATGACTATGAATATATACCTGCCCTTTAGGACTACTGTTGAACCCAACACGTTAGCTAATATCATAGTTAATGTGTCCAATAGTATATCACCGTCATTGGATAGATCTCTAGTAAAACCATCAAGTCGTGCTACGTTGCTCAACCTCAACCATATTTGTTTGTCTGAAGTCTATTTGTATCTATTTTTGACCTGATGTCGGTGATTTCTACGTGAAATATTGTCTCACCTCATATGTGAAAGTAGTGTTAACTGAAAACCGATGATCATCTGAACGGAATTGTAAAAGACGTTGGGAATAAGTCAATTCAGTAGACTTATTTGTTTTTCTACTCTCAAAATGTCACTATTTTTAAAATCCATTATAATGACTGAACCAATTTTTGTTTTGGAATGAAATGCTACGACCACTTATAGTAAGTGCGTTAATGGCTCGTGTGTTTCCATATGTCTTCTTTAGTATTAGCGGGGCTTGTGATGATTTGTTAGTTTATATTTATCTGACCCGAAATTTATATAGATTTTATTATTCAGCTTCCATAAAAGTTATAATAACAACGACGAAATTTCTGCCTCAAATCATTATTGGACACGAGATAAGTGTATCATGTTTATCTGTCTCGTCTAAAGCAAAATGGACACATTATATATATATATATATATATATATATATATATATATATATATATATGATAGTTTAGCGAACACACATAAATAGCCTATATTCTGTCATTCATTTAGCCTCATTTATAACGGCAAAATTGAAGCGAAACTTAATCATGTTTAGGTAGAATTCAATTACTTGCCTAACGATAAGATCGATAGCTATTCATTTAGTCTCAAGCTGGGCCTGTCATCAAAAAGTGGAAATGCTAAGTAATTAGTTTGTTATTTTGTTGTTGTCGTTGTTGTTGTTAACTGAAGTTTGTCCATGACCTCAATATCCATTCAATTGCCCACTTTCTTTGTTTTGTTTTGTTCTGTGTTCTCCGTTTTCCTTTCGTTTCCCATACAAGTATTTTGATTGGAACAGAACAACAGGGCTAGGGGAGATGTATAGGGGGATGAAAGTAGAGCATAACTTATTCTCCACAGATTTCTAATCTTCCCTTAGATCGCGCTACATTCATTCCTATAAATGCTTTTTGTTTATTATTTGGCTTATGACTATTGTGATTTGTTACCTTCCTTTAATCCTGTCGCTTGCAGAATAATTTAGTGATCTTCATGTTTGTGTATGTGTGTGTATGCAAATATCAGTATATTTGCTATTTATCAATTCATTAATAATTTTCGTTACCTCCAAATAAGTAGATTAAGTGTAGTCTTTTAGAATATATCCTATTTTAATCCATTTCATCATTTCATGAAGATGTAAAGAATGTAAATGAGAAATATCCCTGTTATTTATCTATTCTGAATGAAAGCACTTAAAAGGAAGTAAAATGATGATTAATATTCGTTTTACGAGTCTAGTTGTATACATGTATGATACCTAGTTCGTAGCAAACGTATTAAAATGTTATATCACTTTAACATAAAATCACAAGTAACGTACGTTATAATGTAACACTTTAATTGTCAGCGTAGTATTTAATTTTGTGCTGAGAGATTTGTATTTACTTTCTCTTTGTCTTACGATTTGATATAGTGACTATCAAGGTTTAAAAATAAGAAAATAGCGGAGGCTTTCTCTTCTTTTTTGATTTTCCTGTTAGAATAATTTTTCGATTTACTTTTAAATCTTAAAGTCTGTTTATCCCTAGTGTGAGGGGGTGGTAATCCGATCCTAACCAATGAACACTGTACACATAGACCTGCTATTTATGAATACGTGTTTTAAATAAATTCACTTTTCCGAGAATATCAAATAGCCCTTGCCTTGTTTTTTTTGAGAAGAATGTCAGCTTAGACTTTGCTTTGTTTTCCTTTTAATTGCCTCATAGTCTAATACGTCTGTTTGCTGAACAAAAGACATTACTTTTGTATGCTACTGTTCCCAGTTACATGAAGAAAAGCTGTAATGACAAACTGATTTATCAAGCTAGAACTTTACACAATAGTGAGGCTGTTGAAGTTGTCAAACTTCGGCAAAGCGTATATAAAAGTACAATAGAGATTCATAGCCATTTCTAATTAAGTACGAAATATTCGGCATAATTTGCGCTGATATACGTAACTAAACATGGTGTGTATTAATTTTTTCGTAGCGATGTTCTATATGGTTGGCATGAATTGCGTACTTATTAGTATGTACAGTGTTTTATCAGTAATTAGAATCCCCTGAAATCTTAAGCGTGTTTCTCGTTTGTTGGATTGAGTATAATCTTTTCTCAACCTTACAAAGATTTGTCACCTTTCTCTCTGTATCGCATACTGTTGATCACTAGTTAAATTACGTTGTTTGTGTGCCAAAGAATCACAACCAGCTACTTCATACCGTCTAACGCCATATTACGTGCGCATCCACGCATTGTCTATGGAACCAGCTTTTTTTGGCACTAGTTGTAGACAAAGAGTATGTCGCTCGGATTGATGTTTTGTCAGTACCTATATTTGAATTCGCCAGATTGGACTGGCACTTTACCACATGATTGTCATGTGTTTAGCTTGCAATTTCATCATACAATCAATCTGTCTAGAGAAGAAATAGCGTTTTAACCAGTTTTTAGGTGGGTTAATCAATGGTTAATTCAGTACACTGGCACATACACAATATATTAAGTCCAGTAAACATCTATTCAACCTTACCTACAGCAATTATGTGCCAGCTAAATAACATTTTTTTTTCAATCCAAATGGGCTTATAAATTAACTGACAAAACCGTTTGTTCTACCACCGTCTGCACGCGACATTTTCTTTTACATTTTTTCAAGAGTGGTGCTGGTGTCATTTTTCTTTGTCGTGTTGCTCTCTTTTTTACATTGTGTTGCTGGTGAAGTTGCACAAGTTTTTCTCTTAAATCTGTTTTGTGGCTTTTTGAATGTTTATTTTGTATTGAGTACTAACATTCATAATCATGAGAATAAGGCATTTATTTCATTTTATTGCATATCTCATCAATGAAGAAGCTAGACTGAGACTAATTAGATGAGATTAATAAGCTATTTGTCACAAGATCAATTTTTTTGCTGTATCCTTCTTACATATTGGGGTATGCAAATTTCGTGACACCATCCGTCATAAGAATGAATTAGCTCATCAGGTGACGAACCATGACACGTCGCTATGTATTTTAGAAATTTAAGCGTGTAATGAAATATGGAGAGTAATAATGTACTTGACACCTGTCTAAATATAGGGATTGACTTGACGACTTCATGTGTTTTGTTGTTATCCGCTTCTGATATTTGAGAGGTTATAATATCCGACTGTTCGGATTGAATTGAGTGGAGCAAGTGTTGGCAGTTGGTCCAATGAATCCTTGCAGTAAGTGTATATCATATATATATATATATATATATATATATATATATATATATATATAGTATAACAAAAGCCTAAAGCTTACACTTGGATAAACTTTTAATTTCTTCATAGCTTAGGTTAAAGGATTTATTCTGTACATTGATATTTTTTACTACATAATTATTCAGCTAATAAATTCTGTAATTTTCCTTTCTAAAAGCAACGAGAACGTGTAGCTTCCCTTGTGCACCGTCAGGAAACAGTGGAGTGCTTAAAGAAGTTCAATGCAAGACGTAAACTGAAGGTATGTGGTTAGAAAAATATTTTAACAATGCTGTTCATTTGAAATTTTCATTTGCTGCGTTGACTGTTTAAACTAACTTGGAGTAGCTTCTTCAGACTACTGGTTTTTGCGAATACACTTCCCAGTAGCGTATTGACTGGGAAACATCAGTTATCGTTTTAATTGATGGTAACTATAGAGTCCTGAACAATTTGATGCCTTCACGGTCACCACTGCACTTCACATGTCAAGTGTTGCTGACACTGTTTTTATGTTGTACCATGTTTCCTTCTCTTTATTATAAAGTTTTGTTGAGCTCTAAATAATCATGACTATGAGTTTGTGAGTCATTCTTAGTATATTGGGTTTAATATTGCTGCTTAGTGGGAGATGATAAAAATGGATACAACGAAATGAAAAAAATTTCAGCTCATATTACTAGATGCATCAAGAGAAAAGTATAAAAAGGTATTTCAACTGCAGAAATGCATAATTATAGTTAAAATGCACGTAAAGTTTGAATGCTTCCAATTTACATGAGTCGGATCTGAACTGTATTGTGTAGTTTATGGCGATTACATGGAGTTCAACCACATAAATACAGTTGATGTGAAGGAACAGTGGCTTAATGGGCTGCTGCCACATCCTTGTTTAAAAAGCTTTCGATTTCTTCCACACTCATTTCTATTCGTTTCGAAAATATCTTTGAACTCCTTTTTACTGTTGTGACAACTGTTTGCTGCTAAAAATTAGGGCATTAAAACCATTATAAGGTGTTGCATAAATATTTTCTCATTTATTGTGCGAAATAAAGTAGGAAATAAAAAGTAAAACCGTGGCGTGTGCACCTGACGAGATTTATCAGAAGTATATAAAGAGACCTGCATCAGCACGAAATATCAAATAGCTAAGTGATAGGTTTGACTCCGAAGAGAGGAAACAAACCAGCGTTGCTGCGAAAGATGGGAGACGCGATAAGAAGACATACAACACGAAACATCTGTGCGAATGACGATTTTCAAATAGGGTGTACGTAATATCCTCATATGGAGATACCGAATTCCAGATAAACGCCCCGTTACTAAGTCTCTTCCCTCTGCCGTTACGACTGCTGTCGCTGCTTCCAGACATTGAAGATTCCATGGCCGGCTGCCTTCAAAGAAGAAGACCTTAAGAGAATCTTCCGGGACTACGATGTTGCCACCGAGTCGGTGGGCATCAAGGATATGATAGAGAAGGCGTTGTGCTGTGGACACCGCTAAGAGGTCGAGCAAAGATGACGTACAACGGTAAGGAGCGGTCAGGGGACAAAAAGACCACGAATGTATTAGTTGACCGATTGGTGGCTCAGTTCGACAGCCGGACGGACAAGCAGTTGACAATGCATCAGTCTCGTGCAGCGCAGCTGGGACTGAACAGTGACGCGCTAGTGTTGGTGGTGAAGCTGACGAATCTATTAAGTTGTTCACCCCCCACACTGAATGAAGAGTAGGAGTCGCAGTTACTGACGTCCCATTTCATCGAGTGTCCCCAGACCACATTTCTCAGCAACTACAAATGGTTAACGCCGCACAAACCATGGACATCGTTAAGCTAGTGAATGTGACCAGATAACTTGGAGCACAACGGTAGCCTCAATGAAGCCACGGAAATCGAACGGATGGGAACAGAGAATTGAAGAGTTGCAGCGTGAATCGGCGGAACTACGAATAAAAACTAGGAAAGACCAATGCTTTGAATATGACAAATGAGGACACTGGAGGAGGCACTGCCCAGAAAGAAGGGGACGGAAAAATTCCAGACAGTGTAATGTGTGTTCTTTTTCTCCTATAAGACTGTAAGTAGTAGGGGTATTCGAGAGGCGGGCAATGTATTCTAAGTTGCGAGTGAATGGCCCAGAAGTAGTAGTAGTAGTAGTAGATATATGGGCTGCAGTGTCACTAATATGTAGGAATCTATGTCAGAGCGTATGACCGTGTTCGTTGAGTGTTCAAACGATAAGTGGACACATCGTAAACATCACAGGCATACCAAACTGTAGCACTTTTTTTGAGATAACGGAGTAAAGTTTCCGTTCATTGATGTACCAGAGTTACGGCGAACAGTACTTGGGGCTGATTTTCTGCGAGAGGTCGGTGAGGTAATTACCACGAAGGAGAGGGCAATGATCTCGAAGTACGGTACTATCAGCATGTATTAAACAAGTGAGATAGCAGGGGTTAAGGCTAAAGAACACGACCATCTGTTCACTGGGAATGGGCACCCCTACGGCTATTGTGATATGGTGAGATATGAGATCCCTGTGACCCAATGGAAAATAACACCCTTCACAATGCTAAAAGTCCCATGTCATTTAGAAGGCGAAGTCGAGCGACAAGTGAAGGAGATGCTACAGGATGATATTATTGAAGAACCTGATAGTCCATATAACTATCCAGTTCTTTTAGTCAAGAAAGCAAATGGGAAGTACAGATTCTGCTATGATTTTAGACTGCTAAACAGCCTGACAGAGCTGATATCATGTGCCATGCCGACTGTAGTAGAGACCTTGAATTGTCTACAAAGTGCGAAGGTGTTTACAGTGCTTGACCTCCAGTCAGGATAATGGCAGATACCAATAAACCAGAGTGATAGGGCGTTCATCGTGGAACAGAAGCAATTTCGGTTTAAACGTATCTCATTTGGACTAGGAGGCCACCGTTTACACTCAGACGACTGAGTTACTTAGAAACTTGAAGAATGTGGAGGTGTACGGTGATGAATTCGTCATCTGCAGTCAAAAGGAAAGTGACGGTGTGCACCATTTCAAGACGGTGTTGAAACGCATTGAAGAGTTCGGACTGAGCATCAACAAAATCAAATAGACTATATACAGAAATGGATTATATGCTGATCAATGTAAGTTCATTCTTAAAATCAGAAATCAGCGTCTACTTTCCCTGTATGTTTTGGGAAACTTCCTTTACAATCATGTGCATAATCTCACCAATTGTATATAAATGTTTGATCTTTGTATTTTTATCTGCCTTCGATATGTTGTATGGATTGCATTTCATTGGTGGGATTCGCTCACAAAAATTAGAACGTTTGATCGGTTTTGTAGCTGAAGTGCATATCTTACATTTGACCGACTAAATTCCACTAGACTTGATCCAGTACGAAATTCTTGTTGTGGTACTTTGCACCTATGGATATCTTTTCTCCATTCTCAGAAATCAGATTTTATGAGAGATAAATTTGGGATATTTTTGTTCTCCAGGGCACTTAGATGTGAGGAAGGTGTCTTAGGTTCTCATCGTTGGTATGATTTCCTCTTAATTCTTACTTATCATACTCATCTTTTATGTCGAATTCGATAAACATTGACTTTCACCTAATGTTCGTAAATGTTTTCTATTTAATACCAACAAAATTTTTCCTTCCTATAAAGTCATTTGCTTTCAAGACCTTGGTCTTCAGGATCGAGGTTGTATTTCTGATATGTTTCAACTAAATTGATGGCTGCGTAGATCATACATATTTTTACTACTTGTAGAAAGTCATCACTGGTATTATTATATTTATACTACTGAATTACTATTTTCTAAATTTCATATATGATATTCTTCTTATTTTACGTTAAACTTCTCAAATAAGGCGATTATTCCATTCTTATGTAGTCTTGAATTTGGTGCCGAAACTATCATGGAATCCTTTATTACATACTATCTGCTTTATGATTAAGCTCAGTTGTGTAATCCTTAAAACATTTTTATCCTTTATTTCGAGATTATTAGTAGCAATTTCACTTGTCCGTGTTACAGACATGTAAGCTTATCTACACATATAACCTCTTCCTTTCTTTCTTGCTTTGTGTCCTATTTTTTCCATTTTTAGGGTGCTATACTTACAACTATGCTAGCCACACGTAATTTCTCCAGTAAGTTCAGCTTTCAACCCTTATTGGTAAATGTCAGTCTCACTACCCACCTCTGCCCTTTCATAATTCAATTTATTCCTTTATTTAATAGTCATCGAAATACATTTGTATAGTTGATGATGATAATATTACAAGATTTTTGTAAAAAATCACTATGATGCTACTGCATGTAATTTTCTTATTGTCTGTCACAAGCTATCTGTCAATACCACATTTTATTTCATCTCTGTTTTGCTCTCTTTTCCCCTTTTTTTTTCGCATTTTCGCATGGTTTCGCCTCTGTTTTTCCTACATACCTCTATAGTGAAAAAGGATGATAGTTGTAAGTTATTTGAAATGACAGCCTATTTTTTCCTCGATTATAAATGATAGAGGAATGCTTTTCGGTATAAAAGTCATATGTTTTGAGTTACTCTTGTAACTGTTGTCAAAATACATATATACACAGGGTATCTTTGTTAAGTACAGTGTTTGTAATATCGTCACGTGCTATAATACACATATACTTGTTTCTGTTTGTAAAGTGATATGTGTATAAAGAATGTTTTCAGAGTGTTCACAAATTCTTCATTATCTATCACTGATTTTGGCATAATTTCCATTTGAACCGATGATTAAACGCCATAATGAAATTGTCAGCCTTTCTTGTGTTGATTACATCAAAATCTTAATTAACGTGCACTTAATTGTTTAGTGCTGTTGTTTCCTTCGAAGTTTCCCTGCGAAGGATTGTTGTGTTATTCACTAGTGTTAGTATTTCTTTTTATATATACTGTCTTATAAATAGCACTTGTTTTTGTACAGAAATGATGAAGTCCATTTGATGATTTCCATTGAGTCGAATCTTTTTCAGAAGCATTTAAGTTATATTTCATCCGTGTGAATATCAACTTTTCTGCTCTTTGAATAATGAAATTTAATCTAACCTTGGTAACTATCTTCTTTCTACTGGATTGTTTGTAACACAAATTATTAGAGTATAGTGTATTGTTGTTGTTTATTTATTTATTTATTTATTTATCCATGTCAGTTTGTGTCTTGAAGCTTTTGTTGTTCGTGCCGTAATCATTTGTGTGGTGTGCTTTTTGTCTGTGATTCTACTGAAGATTATTCTCATTAGCTGGATTTTAAATTTGTATGTATTTTTTCATGTCTTTTGAAGCTGGTCGAGGCACTGTCCCTGGAAGTCATTCTTCTGTAACTAAAAAGTCTAATGATGGCATAAAGGAACCTTCTGACAGTACTGTTACTGTAATGGAAGACTCAGCTGATGTGAAAAGTTAGTAACATTTGTTGCTTTTATATAATTCATATTTCATTATTGCTTTTGTTTTTATATAATATCGTCATCAGAGTATGTTTCACCTGTGATTTGAATGCAATGAACACTGATTAGTTTCGCTGATACCAATTTTTGTTTTTACTTTTAATTTGATCTTTCATTTAAAGAATTATTGGCATGTAGTACCATTGTGAAAGCAGAAAGTTCCCTCGAAAGTGAGTAAATTATCAAACTAGGCATCTGAGTTTCTTTTTTTCCCTTTAAATAAAATATGTAGGAGTTGGAGAAAATGCACGTTGAGTCTTCTAGTCCACATAACCTTTTTCGCTTGTACTTGATACTTGTACGGTCTCAGTTTCTACATGTTCTTTAGTTTTGCTCCCTTTTCTTTATCTTCTTGATAGTAAATGAGTATATTTCATTTTTATTAAATATCTATATTGACAGTTAATAGAGATGCGTTTGAGCATACTTGTTTATCATTCATGTAACTTCTTCAAACCATAATGCATGTTTCCTACCCTCCAGGTTACTGATAGGGATTATGAATGATCAACTTAATACCTTTACTTCTTGTGAATGCAGTCGTATAAATCTTGCTAGTTGTTCACTAGAGCGTAATTGTTGCCTAGTTTTCTTGTATACTTCTCAATACACTATTTCCTTTAGTCATTTCCTATTTGTCTATCCTATTTTTAAATTGTCATACCATGAAATGTGTCTAGATAAATCAAATTTTTATTGGGTTAAATAATAATGAATTTATGGTCACTGAAAAATGGAGACTACAGTTAGGACGGATTTAATCTTAAATGACGTACATTAATAGAAACCAACTTTTTTTAAATTATGCAGAGTGTAATCCGCTACAAAAAAAAGAGTTTCTCGTAACATATACTTACCACTCTTATTATTTGATTTTTATTTATTTTGACATTCGATATAATCACTAAACGTATTGCAGTTAGAAAAGCGTCATAATATTCATTACTTTCTTACTTTAACGCGATTTTCAATGTGACACATTTAAATATTCCGTACCAGTCAGTTTTTGATGGTTGATTGCTTCACCGTTGCTTGAATGGCCACACATTCTATGTATTCAACTAATCGTAGTCTAGACCTACCAGTCAAAGTAGCATCATACTGCGTACTCACCTCTATAGCTTTAGTTATATGCCGATAGAAAAACTGTTTCTTTACCATATTCATCAACCGTTCTCTACATCTATGTAACTTATTCAAAATAAGGCCCAAAATGCTGATTTCAGAAGGATCTTTACTTAACCAGTTGAAAATCATTTGATTTCCAATGAAGCTAATTATCTAAGTTTGAATTTTTTGGTGAAAAAGAGGTACATCCGCTTGTGTGTATGAGCTGTTTGAGTTCCATATTACTCTGGTGTAGATGTCTTTATTCCAGTCAAATGTTAAATACCATAACCTGTAGTTTCGTTTCTTCTCCTTTTGAGGTTTTCCAATTGTCAGTGGTTGAACTGTTAAGATAATTTGTTGAATTTCACTTCTACAATGGAATTTTTTATTTGTCTGTAATACGACTATCAGGATTGTGGATGCCATTTTACCTCTAGGATAATTTTATAGTAATTATAACATATTTGTCTGTAGCTTATCAGCAAGATGTGGTTGTGGATATGTAGAAGTACATGGAAATTTATTTGCTCGTTACAGAATGTGAAAACTTCTACCTGTTTATAACCTAAAAAGTTGTTGTTGTTGTTATTATGAAGAATGAATGGTAGTCATTGGTGATGGGTTGGTCATTGTTGTATGTACACTATAAAGACTTGTATTAATCATTGTACACTACACTTCTTTTATTGTGTGACCCAAATGTGATAAGTTATACTCGTTTGTAGTAAAACGAATTACGGTGTTCGGATGTATGAATCAGTATGTTTGTTTCCATTCTGTTTTCGATGTGAAGTATATGCTCATCTCAGGTGTATTTTGATATTATGCTGTGTACCAATGTGCATGGGCACTAGAATTTGTTCGGATTATGCATGTAATTCTTTGAACTGTTTCTTAACTTGTTTTTCAAGTAAATTTTTCCAGAAAAACAGTTATTCATCGAAGACGTTGCGAAGTGGTCGCTCTATATATTTAATTGACAGGAGTTAGAATTAATGGGCCACTGGATCGGGTCCCTGTGGCTTAGTGGTCTACGAGCTCGCCTTCCAAGAGCTATCTGTAATTTGAAACGAGGCAAAGCGGCAGGACGCGACGGAATTATTGCGGAGGTGTTTAAATATGGGGGTGACATACTAGTATGTAGATTAACTAAGGTAGCAGGCAAAGTTTGGGAAACAGAGACAATGCCATCAGACTGGGGTAAGTCACTTATTATACCAATATACTCGTGTGATAATCATAGGGCGGGGATCACCCTAACGAACATAGTCTCTAAAATCCTAGGTTCAGTAATCATGCATAGACTAAGCAGAATTCGGGATGAACAAACGAGGGAAAATCAAGGAGGCTTTAGACCAGGTAGAGGGTGCATAGATCATATCTTCACTCTTCGACAGATTCTAGAACATAGACACACTTTTCGGCGTCCAACAATTGTCATATTTCTTGACTTGAAGGCGGCCTTCGACTCCGTGGATCGAAAGGTACTATGGCAATGTCTGACTGTGAAGGGAGTGCCAAGAAAATACATTGCACTAATCAAGGCACTCTATTCAAAATCACGTAGTCCTGTAAGGGCTTATGGGGAATTGTCATCTGAATTGGTAACAACCAGTGGTGTCCGACAGGGATGTCCACTTTCCCCATTTCTGTTTAACTTCATCATAGATATGCTGATGGAAGTATCCTTAACTGAATGTAACGACTTAGGAATCTACTTGTTACCAGGGAATAGTCTTATGGACTTAGAATATGCTGATGACATAGTCCTGTTAGGGGAGGATGCTGACAAAATGCAGAGTTTTCTGAACACCTTGAGCAGCATTCTTCGCATGTTTGGCATGCGATTCGCCCCTGCAAAATGTAAGATGCTGCTACAGGACTGGACCACGTCAACTCCTAACTTAGTGATAGGGAGTGAAGTGATAGAACATGTTGACCACTTCACCTATTTGGGAAGTTGTATTAGCACCAACGGACTGATTGGCGACGAAATCTCAGCACGGATCCGAAAAGCTCGAGCTGCTTTCGCTGACTTACACCATCTCTTGCCTTGGCGTGACATCCGCTTATCAACCAAGGGACGTGTGTACTGCTCATCAGTTCGCTCCGTCCTTCTCTATGGCTCTGAAACATGGCCAATACGCGTCGAAGACATGAAAAGGTGGACTGCTTTCGATCATAGATGTCTGCGATCTCTGTCTCACGTTAGGTGGTTTAATAAGGTGAGTAATGTTGACGCTAGGCGTAAAGTGTTGGGCAAAGAGGGAAAATCAATCGACGAGGCTATAAAGTTACATAGATTGAGATGGCTAGGTGACGTGCTGCGCATGCCTAATCATCACCTCCCCCGATGGGCATTACTAGCTGATATAGGTGCATGTTGGAAAAGAGTAAGTGGTGGCCAAACAAAGACATGGCCTCATCAATCCATGAAATCCTTGACAGTTAAACTGAGTCAGGTAGGGAGATGCAGACTTCCGGGTTGGGGCCCTCGGAACTCTAGGAATCAATGGCTGGAGACAATAGATGGCATGGCTCAAAATCGTTGTCAATGGCCAGCGCAGATGTATTCAGTCTGTGTAATCTTTCATATTCCTTCCTACCATTACCCATTCTGTTTCACTCTTATATTTGTCAAAGTCTATTGATTCTCTTCACTCATCTTCTTGTCTACTTTTGTGTGCTATTTGGAACGTGGCAACTCGAACTGGTGCACTTCGGTGGCAAGTTCTGTGTTGAATCCAGACAGAAAAATCTTAATATGCAGAATATATTTGTCGTGGTGTCATTGTTAGTATCCTTAAAAGTGGTGACTTGATTTAACATGATATTTGTTTACAACCGCTTTACAACTAACATGGTTAACAATAATAAAATAAAGGTCATGACAATTACTCAGTTATATAAAAAACAAAAGTACATACTAATGATCAATCATATTTAAATAGGTCAGGTAGTCCATGGTAGGCGAAGATTGAAGTCTACTGTTTTTTGTACACACAGTTTAGGCTGTATGTGATTAATCCAAAGTGCTTCCATCACTTTCAATAACCTTGAATTAGAGTTATGTGAAATAATTGTGAAACAGTCATTAATATTGATTTTGTGACCTAACATTAGAAATTGGTGAAATTAACTTTTTGAAATTTATTGAAACACAAAAAAGACTAATTCCCATTATGGATAATTTATCGAATTAAACTCACTGTATTTAGCAATGATATGGTAAAAATAACTATAAGTTCCACGGAACAAAAATTAACGAAATCTTTGGAAGACACGAATCATATTTTGGAATTTTCTCAAGGTATCCACAAGCATGTAATCAACTTATCTACCTGCACTCTATCCCAAGTACAGTTGAAAGCATTATCGTATGGATTGAAATACAAAACTATCCCTATGAAAATAAACAAAGTGGAAGTCCAGTCACAATATGAATACCTCTCCTTGTAGTAAAGATTATCTGGACTGGTTTAAAGTTAAACTGGTGGACATTTCTCACCAATTTTTAAATGCCAGAATACACCAGAAAAATGGTTTATCATAAGAACGCCACGCCGCACTTGAGCAATTAGTCGAAAAAAGATAATCTTATTATCCATAAACCTGATAAAGGAGAAGACGTTGTCATCATGAATAAATCGGATTATCAAAATAAAATGAATGATATCCTCAAAGATCAGTCCAAATTTCTGGTGGACAATGCTACTGATAATGTGCTGTTTGTGTAAAAGCAGATCAATCGTCAGCTTCAGGTTTTACTGATGCATGGTTTTATAAATGAAAAACTCTATAAATAACTTAAAGTTATTGGGTCACATACTCCCCGGCTTTAT